AACGCTTGTTTTCGATGCAGGAAATATTATAAGTGCAAAGAGATATATATAGTTTTTATAACGTTAAATATAAACAGATTATAATTCATGCAAATTGTATATTAAATAATCTAATAGTATCGGTACAATTGATAAACTTAGTGTTAACGTATTTTTTAAAAAAAAATATTCGATAAATATTCGAATATTCGGTCAAAAATTGTAATCAACCGATATTCGATAATCGAAAATTTGTAATCAACCAATATTCGACATTCATCGATTTCAATCTTTACCTCTATCTGTAGTGTTATCGAACAATATTATTGAGGTAACTGTAAATTATACGATCAGGGTTATACCTTTTGATTACCAAGCCTTTTTGACATGTCAAACGCCAAGTCCAAGAATGTCTAAGTATGTTTGCACTTGTATAAGTTCAAAAGATTCTATAAAGATATGTAGTTATATGTAAAATTAGATGGTAAACATTTTTACTTAATGAATTAGATCAAGTTGTCATAGTAAAAATTTGTTATGTAACATGTCCGGAACTTGTCCCTGTCTTCACTAATACTTGCGTATGCATATACATGCTTGTCCCTCTCCCGGAATTAGATTGGAATATAGAGTCTTTTGATACCTTTCTAATAAAAGAGAATCCACAGATATTATTCTAATTTAATAAAGTGCTCTTCAATTGTTCATTTGTCTACCACCAAATCCCGACACCCAAAATCTCGAAAACCATAATCACAACGTGACAATTAATATTTAAAGATTAGTAGTCACATTAACAATCATTGTTTAAATTTTTAATTGTCCATCGCGTGATGCCAGTATTATGGCCTGTCGAGATTTTGGATGTCGGGATATTGCGGTAGAACCTTGTCTTCAGTACAACGGAAGGCAGGGTGTTATTCATTTCCTGTGAGGAGTTTAAAATTGCAACAGAGAATTCCTGATGATCATATGATGCAGACGGGCCATCGTTCCTATGATCATCGGGAATCTGTTTTAATTTTTAAGCTCCCAGGAAATAAATAATACATATCCTGTGTAGTTGGATCTAACTATTACTTATCTAATGTCCCTACGTTTTTTAAAAAGCAAAATTCAATAATCTATCTTTACTAATTAATATTTTTACGTTGTACGAATATCGCCCACTTCTATTATTAGTACCATGAGTTTTTCTCTCATATTTATGGAAGTTCAATAAAACAATATAGACAATAACGACACAAGATCTGATGTTAAAATTTTCTTACAATCAAGACGTAAAAATTTTTATTATTCTAAATACATATTTCATTTTATCGAATTTGACATTATTAATCTGATCTCGATGTTGAAAAAACTTAGCTGATCAAATTTCCCAGCGGCGATGTAAGGAGTAAAATTCTTGTATGCATTTGAAGTTTTTACCCTTATGGAATTTATGTTGTTCAGTATTAATAATGCTAGGAGAAATAATTCAGTTAGGTGAAACTTATAAACATTACTTTTTGATTGGAATCGTTCCGATGTAAAATAATCCTGTAACAAAGCCACGGTTATAATTTATAACTGTAATAAATTGTAAAAATACAGACTTCGTAGCTGGACTCCCAAATCCAATCTGCTTGCAGTGAAATTTTTCTTTCTGTTATGAGGCGTCTCTCCTCTTATTCGGTTTCTTGAAAGGTGCCATGCACTCCCAACTGTCACCTCTGATTTCAGAGGTAAGTTGTTTCCGTTAATTTCATCAAATGCCCTTACTTCTTTGGGGATTCTCCAAAAATAGACTTCACCTATTTACTCGAACATAAGTTTGTATACCTCTAAAAGACTGGATTAAAAAAAAAAAATTATGAAATTAGAGATAGTCAAATTTGGATTGGTTATGTGAATTGAAATATAATTTACCGGATTCAGTCCTTGAAGAATCTAACAATTATATATACTATATACAGTTAACTCTCTCTAAGTGCAATTCATTGGGATCAGACTTTGACGACATGTATTTAGAGAACACTTAAGCAAGTTGCATTTATAGAGATTAAACATATGCTTAAGTCAGAATTTAAAGCTGTATTTAGAAAGAAGTCACACTTAGAGGGGTTGCATTTAATCGAATCTGGGTCGACAAACAAAATCCCGACAAGGTTATAATCCCAACAAGTTAGCCTGCATTAACCATGGTTTTGGTCAATTTTTTGTCGGAATTTTATTTGTCTGGATTTTGACCCAGAATCCATTTAATCATCATCCGGTTAATCTTGTTAATAGCTTGATTTCAAATTTACTACAGCATTTTGCAAAACATTGAACATTTTTTCTAAAACAAAAAAAAAACAAAATCGTATCGTTTTTGAGTAAGACGTACGAGAACTAGTCTTCACATTATATTAAAATGTATAGTGATGAGTCAAAAAGACTTCACTTTTATTAAATAGTATATATATATATATGTATGTATGTAGACAATACAGAAAATTCGTTCTACATTATTTCGTCCTTTCAAATATTTAATAACCACTTCCGACAATTTGCAATTTTTGTACCTTTTAACACAATATCACAAGGATTGTGAAATTTTATCTTGATGGATCAAATTGCGCATATATTGTGTAAAAATGTGTTACAGTCAACTCTTTCTAAGCGTAAATATAACTAAATTCTGGCTATAGATGCCTGACGAAACCATGTGATGCTAATTGTCACATGTTATTACTTATAAAAATTAGAATTAATTGTTAAATTTTATATATCGTAGCATGTGACAATTAGCATCACATGGTTTCGTCAGGCGTCACTAATTCTGGCCCATGTATATGTTTGATCTCTATAAACGCAATTTTTCTTAAATGTCTCTAAATGCATGTTATTAAAAGTCTGGTCCCAATGAATTGCACTTAGAGAAAATTGACTGTATAACGGGGAACTAGCTTGATTAATAAAAGATTCTTCGAAACATGAAGCAACTGTAATCAATGAAAAATTAAGGGGAAAGAGTTAATTACTGTAAAAATAGTTTGTTTACTGGATTTTCTCATTAACGTTAAAATCAATTATGATATTATCATGCGTTATCGTGTACGGTTTTAAAACTATTCCTGGAGGTGAATAATATGATTTCTTTTTTTCGTATTCAATAATCAATTCTTTGCTTTCATAGATTTCTTTGTATATGCTTTTTATAATGACAAGAATTTGCTCGATAGTTGGTCTTTTTAAAGGATCTGTGTCCATACATCGGTAAATAAGGCTTTGAATCCTGTCTGGAATCTCGGGTACCATTTGTAACTTTAAGCCACAAATAATTTCTTTCGCTAATTGATAATTGTCAGGTATATAATCGAAAGGCTGGTTCATGGCAAATATTTCCCACATCAAGACTCCTAAACTATAAATATCAGTTGCTTTTGAATATTGTTTATGCAACAGTAATTCAGGTGCCATATATGGAACAGTTCCATATATTTGGTCTATGCATTTATCGTCTACTGGACGGCATGATCCTAAACCAGTAAGTAGGCATCTATTTGTGTATAAAAGAATATTTCTACTATGCAAATGGCAGTGAATTAGATCTTGTTGATGGATATTTGACAAAGCTAAACAAATGCGCCAAATAGCGAAGATTTTATCTTTTAAATTTATTTCCCGATTTCTTATTAGATAATCTCGTAAATTGCCATCTGCAAAATAATTCATAACTATGGCATAATTATTATTACCAGGAATTTTAATTTTGGTTATGCCATACGCATTAACAATGTCACCAGATCTAATTTGAATAAATTTTTTGGCCTATGAAAAAATCAGATTATAGTTTTATGTACTGTATGTCACTATATATGATACAAAAACATTAAAATATATTTTATTTACCTCTCTAAAAACCGTCTCATAAGGATTGCCTGGAGTGTTTAAAGATTTTAACACAACCTTATGAGGGCCATTATAAACAAATTCTCGTTTGCTTTCATTAAAATCTAATATCGCTCCGCGTTTCCATGTTGCGGTATATATTGTAGAAATTCCACCCTTTACAAGGGGCGTTATATCTTCTAATTGGTCAGGTGAGATCCATTCCATAATGTGTAGAGGGAGTCCTGAATTTGACTGACATTCGCATATAAATTCATCAATAACTTTGCTTCCAGACGTCCAAGTTCCAAAGAAACTTTTTAAATATTTTATAATGCAATTTTCACAATAACGTGTTGAATATCTTGTTAAATTGCAATTATTGCATTTTATTGGTTCACCCCTTTTAAATAATTCTTTTTCTCTTTCGGTATTTCTTAAAACTCTCTCTTGACAAGATTCCTTTTCTTCTTGGGTAAGTACTGAGTTCTCATATAATAACTTGTTAAAGACTTTTAGTGCTTCTTCATAGTTCGAAGAATACAACTCAGCATAATAGATAAGTTCAAAGTAAGTTTTGCTTACTAAGTCTTTTCTAATTACTTCCATTTTTTTTTTTTAAAAAAAAAAGGGGGACAAAAACAGATTGCAATTTCTTTAACACTGCGCTCTAATTTTGAAATGCGCTTTTTATAACAAAATCAAATAAAAAATAATAGGCTACTATAATTTCCAATTTAGTTCGGTCTTACCAATCTATAAGGAATTTCGTCAAGAAAAAGTTCGAATATGTAACCAGCCAGCTGTGTGACATGTTGAATTATTCTAGAACGTGTACAAAGTTGTACTTCGGAAGATATCGGAAAATTCAGTCTGGGAATATACCAAATTTGGTCATCGATGATCTTACCTTATTTGGTAAATGATCATCAGTCGGATGATTC